CTTATTGGCGGGACAATCAGACACTTCGGGGCTTGTGCGCCTGACTGATAGCAAGAGCCGGCATCGAAGGATCAAAAAGCAACTTCGCAAGCCTGTGGCCAACATTGGCTGCGGACATCGAAGGATGAAATAGCCACGTCGCTACGAACGTGGCTGCCCCTTCCAGGTATCCCTCTGGCAACTTTTCTGACACCCCTCCTGATCCTCCGCCTCGTCCTCCTGATCCTCCTCGTCGTCGAAGCCCAACTCACGCTCTTGATGGTCGGGCGGACAATCAGACACTTCGGGGCTTCTGTGGCTCAATAATAGCAAAAGCCAGAGTCGAAGGATCTTAAAGCAATGTCGCTACGAACGCGTGGCTGTCACAAGCCAGACATCCCTGTGGAAACTTTTCTGACACCCCTCCTGATCCTCCTCGTCCTCCTGATCCTCCCTCTCCTCCTCCTCGACCTCCCCCTCCTCCTCCTCCTCATCATCATCATTATCATCATCAGACTGCGCCCGGAGGGTAAAACAAACCTGTCTCACGACAGTGTAAGCCCAATTCCCGTTCTCTAGTGTCGGACAAGCAATCAGACACTTTGGGGGTTCTGCGTCTCAGTAATGGCAGGAGCCGACGTCGAAGGGTCGAAAAAACGCGTCGCTACGAACGCGCGGCTGCCACAAGCCAGGTATCCCTGTGGTAACTTGTCTGACACCCCTCCTCATCCTCCGCCTCGTCCTCCTGATCCTCCTCCTCCTCTTCTCCTCCTCCTCCTCCTCCTCCTCCTCCTTGTCACGACTACCATGACGACGACGAGAGAACAGAGAAAAAAACCCTGGGAAATCCCGAGGGAAGCAATGAGCTCCACGGCCACGACGGCGTCCCCCCGCCCATCTCAACGCACCCATTACACAGATTGCGCGTCAAAGAACGCGGTTGCACGCGCCCCTCTGTGGGAGGATGCGCGTATCATCACGCTCCCCCAGGACTGGGCTTATCACGCGGATCGTGTCCCAGCGGGAGCTCCACCGACAGTCCGAAAGTAAACGTGCGTATGCCGCCCTCCCGCCCATGGCGGTACACCCTTGACCTCGACCGTGAGTGCGGGGTGTTTTGGTTACTTTCCGGCGCCCCGCAGAATGTTTCTGTGGAGTATCGGGAAAACCTGAAATGGATCGTGGTCGACGCAGACACGAGGCCTCCCATCTCCCATACGCTCATGGGGGCCAACTGGGACGCGTGCCAGGAGCCTTTGGAAGCATTGTGGGAGTCTCTGGGGTCCCTCCGGGCCTCTTTGGGGACTTTGTTGGCCCGTCTGGGGCCCCGTTTCGGCCGCCCCGCGCCCTTTTGGCCCGTCATGGGGAGCTGAGCCCGTCTTGGGGCTTTCTCCGACCATGTAGGGATCCTCTGGTGGCCCCCTCGGGGCCTCTGGGGACTCTCTTGGGCAGTCTTGGAACTCTCTTGTGCTGCTTGAAGCTCTCTTCAGGCCGTCTTGGGGCCCTTTTGGGGGCCTCTTGGACAATCGGGGGCCGATTTGGGGAGCTTTTGGGGCCGACCTGGCCGCTGCTAGGACTGAAAAAGCGAATATAAAAAACAAAAAAAACATGTATATATGTTGATGTATATATATATATATATATATACACATATCATTCATTGTCCCTGGGTGCGTGGCTGAAAAGGGGATCCGTGGTGGGGATTCTGCTTGTTGTTGTCGTCGTCCCCACCGTGACCCACCCCGCGACCCACCCGCGACCCACCCCGCGACTCACCCCGCGACCCACCCGCGACCCACCCGCGACCCACCCTGCGACACACCCGCGACCCACCATGCGACCCACCCCGCGACCCACCCCGCGACCCCACCCGCGACCCACCCGCGACCCACCCCGCGACCCACCCGCGACCCACCCGCGACCCACCCCGCGACCCCACCCCGCGACCCACCCGCGACCCACCCCGCGCGCGACCCACCCGCGACCCACCCGCGACCCATACGCGACCCACCTGCGACCCATCCGCGACCCGGCCCTGCGACCCACCCGCGACCCACCCGCGACCCACCCCGCGGTCCACCCACATTGCTTTAAGTAAAATATCGGCGCCTGTGGCGGGCTCGCTGCATAATGCGTAGAAAAGTTAGGCGCCTGCGGCAGGCTTCGTCAGAGCCTCGCGGACTGACGACGTCCTCGCCGCCCCCTCACTCTTATCTGCAACTGCGGAGTGCTACGTATATTTGTATGTATGTGTGTACATATATATATATATATATATATATGTGTTGTTCTATGGGAAATGCTTGATTTTTGTCCTTGGGGGGCCTTCGTGGCGGCCTCGTGGACCATCTTGTGGGAATCCTTGTGGGTCTTTTTTGGCCGTCTGGGGGCTCATTTCGGCCGTTCTGGCTGGGTCCCTCTTCGCCCGTCATGGGGAGCTGAGCCCGTCTTGGGACCCTCTTAGGGCCCTCTCCGACCATGTAGGGATCCTCTGGTGGCCCCCTCGGGAGCTCTGGGGACTCTCTTGGACCGTCTTGGAACTCTCTTGTGCTGCTTGAAGCTCTCTTCAGGCTGTTTTTTTCTTAACCACGGCGACGTTGGCCCACGGCAAGTCGAAACCAAAACGCTCGGCTCAAGAGATCCTCTTCGGGAGCTAATTGCTGCAGCGCCACTTGGCACATGTATCGGATGGCCCATGCGCTTCTGGATGATGTTAATTACCTGTGATCTCTTCCGATGCTGACTTTCAAATGTAGCCCGCGGAACTCAATACCCGAAAGCCTGCACGGTCTGGTCGTAGCACTTCACGAAGTCGTCCACCTTCATCAACGGATGGTACGCTGCCATCTTCTTCTCAGTGCACTCGGGACGCCATTTCTTATTCTTCTTCTGGTCGACAGGACGATCGGCCTCGCAGGCTCCGTCCAGAACGGTCTCGAACGCCCCGCCACGGCGTACGCCAACGGAGTCCAGGCAGACCTGAGCGAAGAGGTCCTCCCCCATCGGCCCATACTTCCCGCCCTCCACTCCCGTCTTCCAGTCCAGGGTCGTCTTGCACCAGTCGATGTGCGCAAAAAGGGTGTCGGCGGCGGTGAGCGACATGATCTCCAGGTTCCCAAACCAGCCCCACTTCACGAACTTGCAGTTCTCAAGGTAGATGCCGGGGACGCCGCTCAGAGGGTTGGGCGCCCCCTGGGAGGCGAGGAAGGGCCTCAGGCGGCTGGGCAGGAACACCGCGTCGCAATCCACCTTCACGACCCAGTCGGCGGCCTTGTAGTCTTCGGCTGCCAAGATGGCCTTCCAGACCTGGGTGTGCAAACCAGTGTTGATCCAAGTGCCCGTCTCCTTGCGCTTCAGGATGTGGAAGTCGCCGTCCACGTCGTCCACCGCCACGAAGGGAACGCCTGGCTTCAGGTCGCCCGGCGAGTCGCTGAAGATGCCCCATTTCTCGCAGGCGAAGATCCCCATGTTCCTATCGTACGACGCCCTCAGCAAGCCCAGCTCGTCGGGCCGCGCGACGGAGCCATCACTGCCGGTGTCCGCCATGTAAACGGAAAAGCAGTACATCGCAGTTCCAGGCGAAACGGCATCGTCCAAATACATGGGATCGCGAGTCTCTGGCACTGGCACCGCGCAGGCATACGTGTCGCTCTTGGTGCAATTCTTCAGACACTGAGCCTTGCCTGGCGTGTCCGTCACGAAGCAGGTGAACCCAGCCACGTCACAGCAGGCTGCCTCGAAGCAGTCGTCTGTCGTCGCCGCGCAATCCTCCCGCCTCGGCTTCGCCAGCACCTGCAAAAGACCGCGGGCCACCTCGGGCCGCTCGGGCTGGCGAGCGTTGGCGAAGCGCCCGGCCGCGAAGCCGCCGCCGGCGCAGGCGAGGCAAGCCATTGCCGCACCGCCCAGGACCCTGCGGGTGCTCCACCCAGACGCTACTTCGGACGCCGCCTCACTGCCACTGCTGAGCTCCGCTTCCCGCGCATCGAGGTGCGACGCCATGGCTGTTTGCTAGACAGTGCGCAGCAGAGCAGGGGTGTGGGATGTCTGCTTGGGCCAGGGGGGCACCAGCCGTTCTGCGGGGAGTCAAAATCCTTGAGCCAAGATGGCTTGAGTCAAACTGGCTACAGAAGCTCTCTTCAGGCTGTCTTGGGGCCCTCTTCGGGGCCTCTTGGGCAGTCGGGGGCCGATTTGGGGAGCTTATGGGGCCGACGTGGCCGCTGTTAGGACTGAACAGCGACTATCCCAGAATTGCACGTGTCTTCATAGGAAATGCTTGATTGTTGCCCTTGTTGCGCCATCTCGGCGTCCTCTTAGACCGGCTTCAATGCCTTCGTGGCAGTCCAGGAGCAATCTTGGGGTGTCCTCGAGCGCTCGTGGCCCGTCCGGAGGCCATCTCAGTGCGCTTTTCAGCCATCCTCTAGACAGCCTGGGGCGCTTTGGGAACCTCTTGGGCCAGTCTGGGGCCTCTGGGGGTCCGGGGCCCCTTCTGGGGCCTCTTGGAGCCCTCAAGGCCCCTCCGACCCCCATGCAAGCCAGTGGTGCCGGTTCTGGGCCCTGCCCTGGCGTACTCTGATATACATATATACAAACATATATATATATATATATATATATATGTATATATAGGCATAGATATACACAGATCTACATATCTACAAATATACATCTATACACATATATATATATGTGTTGAATCCACTGGTGTGCTGTCGTCTGATCACAACGAGACTTGCCGTGTCGGCTCTGCGAGAAAAAAAATGGTGCCAACTCATGAGAGCCTCCCATATCATCTTGTCGGCTCTTGCGAATCGACGCTAGTCGACGCTAAATCGACGCTCATCGACGACCAATCGACGCTCGTCGACGCTAACCGACGCCAACTCGGCGCTACCTCATCGACTCTAGACGCTAACCGACGCTAATCGACGTTGAAGACAAAATGAAAAGGGCATGCCAGGCTCCCACGATGTGCTACAGGAAAAAACCATCCGCTCCGCCCCGCCCCATCCACCCCTGGGCGCCAGCGGGCCACAGCAGCCGCAGCCGCCCAACCGTGGCGCGGGCGCCGCTGTCAGCGGCCCCCGCGGGGGCGGCGAGCTCCTCGCCGGCGGCGCCCGGGGAGTGCTCGCCGTCAACGTCGCCGTCGCCGCCGCCGCCGCCATCTTCGCCGCTTAGGGAGTGCCGTCGCCACCGCCTCCGCCGTCGTCGAAGGTGGCAAAGAAGGAGGCGTGAGGATCGAGAGCCAGGGCGACCTATGTAGGGGAAAAAGATGGCGGAGGCGCGCGCCAGATCGGTGATGTTCTTCGCACGGGTGGGAGGTGTGCGGGGAGGGTAATCTCCATGGTCCTCCTCCTCTTCCTCCGAAGAGAAAGATGATGATGATGATGATGATGATGATGATGATGATGATGATGATGATGATGATGATGATGATGATGATGATGATGATGATGAAGATGATACTAATGATGATGAGGATGATGATGAGGATGATGATGATGATACTGATGATGCTGATGATGATGATGCTAATGATGATGATGATTATGATGATGATGATGATGATGAAGATGATGCTAATGATGATGATGCTGATGATGATGATGATGATGATGATGATGATGATGATGATGAAGAGGAGGAGGGAAAGGATGATGAGGGGGATGATGATGATGATGATGATGATGATGATGATGATGATGATGATGATGATGAGGAGGAGGAGGAGGAGGAGGAGGAGGAGGAGGAGGAGGAGGAGGAGGGAGGAGGAGGAGTAGGAGGAGAAGGAGGAAGAGGGGAGGGAGGATATATGCAGGCAGACGGGTGCGCGAGTCATCTCAACGCCCCCCCGCCTCGCAGACCGCCGAGCTCGGCGGGGCTCGGTTCCTCAGAAGTCCAAGAACATGCTGGGCCTCGGGACATCGGACCCGTGCCACAGCCTAGTCTAGCCTCATCGGCAACCAGCGTTCCTGGGTGAAACCAGGGCACGCACCAGCGGGGTGCCAAGCGAGAGGCATGGTCAAAGAAACCCACGCAAGGAAAGAGGGAGGAGGACGAGGAGGAGGAGGACCCGTGCACACCGAAGGCGAATCAACGATGTTGCAATGAACCCTCCTTCCAAAATCCCGGTCCCCACAATAATCGATGTTCATTGTGGAAGGTGGCCCATGAGACAACAACCGTCTGAGAACCCTCAGCCGTGTCTGAACACCACTCCTGAGAATTCAACGTCGCGGATCAACGTGACTGTTGCGTCCTGACAGTCCTAAGCCGTGTCAGAATACAGTCCCTGGGACTTCAACGCCGCAGATCAACGTGACGTCTGTGTCCTGACCATACAACGTCGTGCCAGAACACCAATCCTGGGATGTCAACCATACGAACATTTGAAACTGCTGCAAGCGTTCAGGACGAATGTGCGCGGCACTGAGGCGATAGTCACAACTTAAATAAGACCCACCCTACATACTTGAAACTGCTGGTAACGTGTAAAACATATGTGTGCGGCGCTCAGGCCAGAGCCACATGCTGAAAAGGACCCGCCCTCTATCCTTGAAACTGCTGCAACCTTATGTGCGCGACGCTGAGGCGAGAACCACAACTTGAAAGAGGCCCGCCAGCCATGCTTGAAAAGGTAACAGCATGCAAACATGAATGCGCAGGGGAAATAACCGCATTTCGAAAAAGACCCGCTGTTTGTCCGTGAAGTCGTTGAACAATTCAAAATGTCAAGATCATAAGCGGTGAGGAAACCTCAAGAGGCACGCCGGGGCCGCCCTACCGACACGCCTGGGGGTGCGACATGGAATATGTCCACGAGGGAAAAGAATGACAAGGGGCTGCATCTTTAAACTGCCACAGACTTTTGCAACGAATGTGCGCGGCGCTAAAGAGTTTGAAGACGATCCACCGTCCATCCGTGAAACTGCTGCAGCATTCAACTTCCAAATAGGAAATCTCACGCGAAACGCCTGGGACGCGCCCTACCGACGCGCCTGGGGGTGCGACCGGGAAGAATCAATCAGGAGGCAAAGGATCGAGATCCACCAAGGGGGGGGGGTGACCTGAGAGAGGACACGAATTCGATCCGCTGGTGCAAGGAACTGCCGCAAAAAGATGCCCCCCGCACGCACCACCTATCCGTAACTATCAGGAGCTGCCCGCGGCTGGGGGGCATCTGTTTTGGGCGGTTCGGTACAAGAACCGATCGAACTCGCACACACACACACACACACACACATACACATACACACACACACACACACGCACACGCACACGCACACGCACACACACCCTTTGCGGAATCCCGAAAGGAATGGAGGGGGTTCGCGGAAGGCCCCCAGGTGGAGACGTTCGCCACTCTTCGCCGCGGAGACCCTTAAGGAAAGAGGGTGTGCGCGCACGGACCGCCGCGGCAGCCGCAGGGGGAGGGAAGAGGGGAAGGAGAAGGAAGGAAGGAAAGGAGGCGAGGAGGAGAGACAGAAGGGAGGAGGGAAGGATGAGGGAGGGGAGGAGGAGGGAGGGAGGGAGGTGGGATGAAGGGATAGAGGGACAGAGGGAGAGAGGGAAGGGGAATAAGAGCAGACGCCGCCTCGGAAGAAGTAAGGAGGAGGAACCGCCCCCCTCTTCGCGAAGGAAAAGGAGGAGAAGCACCCCCTCTCCTCCAAGAGAAGAAGGAGGAACACCAGCACCACGTTCCTCTTGAGACGGACGCTCGAGGGGGTTAGTTAGCGGGGGTGGGCGAATAAGCTCACGTAGCTGGTTTTCCCGGCGTCTCCTGGCGCCGGAGGCGCCAATGTATCGAGCAGACCGCCAGGCGGCGGGGCCGAAACCAGCTGCACGCAGCAGATTTCGACCCCCCCCCATTCCTCAATCACCACCCTTCGTCCGATCCTGTTCTCCCCAAGAACGCCTCCTCAAGGGGACGAGGATGAGGAGGTGGGAGGATGAGAATGAGGATGAGGAGGAGGAGGATAATGGCGAGAAAGACAACAAAGACGAAGGGGATGAGCCCCCCCTCATCCACAAGAGGAGGATATTAAGGAAGAGGGAGGAGGAGGACCAAAGCAAACCCAAAACGCATCAACGATGTTGAGATCAACCCTCCCTCTCAAGTCCTGCTACAGAGGTCCCTACAACAATCGATTGTCATTGCGGACATGGCCCACAGAAAATAACCGCCTGAGAATCCTCAATCGCGCCAACACACCATTCCTGGGACTTCAACGCCGGGGATCAACGTGACAATTGCGTCCTAGCAATTTACATAACGCCAAAAACATGTTCTGGGACTTCAGCGCCGCGGATCAACATGACTGTTGCGTCCTGACAAATCCTACGTCGCGCATGAACACCATCCCTGGGTCTTCACGGTCGCGAGTCAACGTAACTCTTGTCCTGTCAATCCCACATCGTGCCAGAACACCATTCCTGGGACTTCAACCGCACAGTCCGCGCAAATCCGGCTCTGGGGCGATAACCACCTTTGGAGCAAACACTGAAGCGAGACCCACACTTTGGAAAAGAACCGACTTCCATCTTTGAAGCATCCACAAAAAGTTTACAACGACTGTGCGCGGCGCTAAGGAGGGAGAACGATATCTGGAAGTCTCAAGAGACACGCCTGGGCCGCCCTACCGACACGCCTGGGGGTGCGACATGGAATGTGTGTCCACAAGGGAAAGGAGTGAAAGGGGGCTGCATCTTTAAACCGCCACAAGCTTTTGCAACGAATGCGCGCGGCGCTAAGGAGTTTGAAGACGACCCGCCGTCCATCCGTGAAACTGCTGCAAGGTTCAAACTTCAGGATCATGACTGGTGAGGAGTCTCAAGCGAAACGCCTGGGCCGCCCCACCGACGCGCCTGGGGGTGCGACCGGGAAAAGTCATTCGGGAGGGAATTCAACGGAAGGGGGCTCGCGGCGGGCTACAAAATGGTCACGCGCGGCCGAAACCAGCTGCGCGCGTCAAATTCGACCCCCCCGCGCGCTCCACAATCCCCACCCTTTGTCCGACCCAGTCCTCCCCAAGAGCCCCTCCGCCTCAAGCGGAGGAGGATGAGGACGAGGGAGGATTAGGGGGAGGAGGAGAATGACGAGGAGAACAACCACGACGAAGAGGATGAGCCCCCTCCTCCCCAAGGTGAAAACATCAAGGAAGCGGGAGGAGATTAATGGAAGTGGACCCGCGGCGGGCTACCAGGTTGTCGAGTTCGCCACTCTTCGCCGCGGAGACCCAAAAGGGCCAAAGGGTGCGCGCGCACAGACCGCCGTTGCACCCGCGGGGGGAGGGAAGATGGGGCGGAGAAGAAAGAGGAAGGCGCAAGTAAAGGGGGCGAGGAGGAGAGAGCGAAGGGAGGAGGGGAGGCTGGGGGAGGGGAGGGGAAGGAGGGAGGAGGGAGGGGAGGAAGGGAGAGGGGGCGAGAGAGAGAGAGAGAGAACGAGGGGAGATAAGAGAAGACCCCGCCTCGGAAAAGGTAAAGGGGAGGAGGAGCCCCCCCCCCTTTCCACAAGAGGGCGCGGGGGAGGAGGAGGGGGAGGAGGAGGAGGAGAAGTATCCCCTCTTTCCCAAGGAAAGAAAAAGGGGGAGCAACAACACTACCCCGTTCCTCTCGGGTCGGACGCTAGAGGGGTTTAGTCAGCGGCCTCGGAGGCGGACAAGAAACTGCTGCAACCTTTCAAAACGAACGTGCGCGGCGCAAAGACGAGAACCACATTGTGAAGATTGCCCTTCGCCCATCCGTGAAGCTGTTGCGCAGCTCAAACTTCAGGATCCTGAGCGGTGAGGGAGTCTCGGGCGAAACGCCCGCCCCCTCCCCCCCCCCGACACCTCTGCGGGTGCGACAGCGAGGAGCTATCTAGAATTCTTGACGCTTCGCGACTCCACACCAGCCCATCCAGAAACGACTACCAGGTGAGTTGGTTAATCAGGGACGCCTGGAAGGACGCGGTCGTATAGCCGTTTTGGAAGCGTCCAAACTGGGTGGGCAGTACTCTGGGGCCAGGCAACAAGAACCACACATAACTTCGCGCAATGAAGTTTAGAAACGCAATCCACGCAAGATGCGCCATGGTGTTCCCTGTGAGAAGCGTGTCTGGCGCAGGTTGTTGTATCTACGATCCGACGCCAGTGCGCAGAGTGGAACTGTTTTTCGATGGACACATCCTCGATCTTACCTCTTGCACTGATTTGTACTTTGAATTCGCGTGCGTTTTGAAATTGCTCAGGTGCTGGCGCTGCTGCGGGTGCTGCTGCGGATGCTTCTTCCGATGCTCGTGTCGTTGATGCTGTTGCTGCTGATGCTGGTGCTGGCGCTGCTGCTTGTGGTGCTCCTGCTGGTGGTGGTGCTGCTGTTGGGGCCATCTTGGGTTGTAGGTGGAGCAAGCGGAGGAGGAGGAGGAACAAAAACGTTGTCGCTCTGCCGATCCCGCAAGCGTCTGCGCTCAAGTCTTGCGGCCTGTTGCCATAGCGCTTCCCGAAGGACTTGTAGACTAACGACCCGCCTCGCGGAACCAATGGGCAACCCGAAGCGGGCGTTCCTCGCGACGTTGCCCCTGTTGCATCCCCTTCGTCGGGCTGCCGACGCGGCGCGGTCCGATCGCGTCTGCGTGCTCGGTCGCGCGCGAGCTCTCGTCGGCACGCCGTGCGCGTGCTCTGCGCACGTGCCCGAGCGCGAATAGCAGCGCCAGTACACGTCGGTCGGAAGAAGTGGGTAGAAATATGAAGTAGGAAGGCGGACATAGTAGATTGGGTCCAAGTCCTCCCAGAGAGTAACAAAACACAGCAAAAGCATGCCGATTCTTGAAGCTGGGAATCCAAAAATACTTACTTTCAACGACCGGCGTGTACTTTTCGCGGGCGGAGTCGAATATCAGACTGCTGGGCCTGCGGCGAGATTGCGCCACTGTGCCCGTTGCGCTGGCGAAGAGGCGGGGAAGCTACACGAGACCATCAGTAGGGCACCGAACCCATCCAGAAACGGCGCCGAGGAGCCATCCGAGCGTTGACGGAGCGGGCAACGCAGCGAAAGTGCGTTGGCCCTCGCACTGATTTGTATTTCAAAATTGTTCCGTCTGTCTCGCGTAATACATCTTCGGGACTCCGGAACCGAAGATGCTTGGACTTCAGGTGTTTTGACCTGTTTCGCCGGGGAAATGTGCACAACTCTGGGATCCAAGATGCGGTCCTCGAAGCGTTCCTGCCCGTCTTGCCCGAGATATCCTCAGAACTCTGGTTCCCGAGACGCTTGCATTTTAGCTGATATGGCCCATTGTTTCTGGTGCTCTCGCTCGAGCGGTGACCACATCCCTGTGTTGGATTGGTGACGTCGCTTCGGCGTTGCCTGAACTCTAAAAACATGGGCTGTACGTGCCTTTGCGCTACTCAGCAAACTCCCAGGCCAATGCCATCTTGGCGCCATCTGGAGCTCTCTTGGGTTCTCTTTGGGCACGTCCGAGGTCCTTTTAGGGCGCTGGGAGCACGCAGTTGCACAACCGCCTTGGGAGCACGAGGTGTCGCAACCACCTTGGGAGCGTGTTGCAAGGGGCGCAGAAGCTGCACATAGACACCGCAGTGCGCACATGCATTGTTGTTTTCAAAACTGGGGGTCCGTACCCTGGGCCAGAAACGCAAAGATCACACATAGCTTCCCCCCTGAAATTTAACATGGGAACTAATGCAAGATACGCCGTGATGTCCCCTGTGGTAAACGTCTGTGGCATATTACCACGGCGGTTTGATTGGCAGCACCAATGAGTTGGGAGATCTCTTGTAGCGAAGGGTGTCGGTGGTGCTGTAGCTGATGGTCTCGTTGGTGTTGTCGTTGTATGCTTGGCTTCTGGTACCGTTGCTGCTGGTGTTGGTCTGGGTGCTGCCGCTGGTGCTGCTGATGCTGGTGATGCCTGGGACCATCTCGGGGGTAAGAGGAGGAGTAGGAGGAGGAGGAGCAAAAAACACATGAGGAGGACGGGAAGGAGGAGGAGGAGCAGGATGAACGCGGCGCGAGGAGGATGAAGAGGAGCAGGGAGGCGGCAGGAAAGAAACACTGAAGGAACGGACGATGACAAGGAGGACGGGAAGTCGGGTTTTGGGGATATATCGTGGTGAGGGGTTCTTCGAAGACTCGTAGTGCCATTTGGGCGCCATCTTGGGGCCCTCTTGGGGTCCTACTGAGGCCTTCTTGGGGCCATATTGGGGCTCTTGGGGCGTCTTGGAGCTCTCTTGGGGCTCTTCGGGGGTGTCTGGTAGGCCCCTTGGGGCCGTCTCGGGCCCCACTGTTCAAAAAGAGGGGGGGGTCTTAATTCCCGTCGCCCCCTTCGGAGGCTCAAAAATGCTGTTTTGGGGCCTTCTTGGCCCGCTCATGGAGCGCTCTTGGGCGCTCTTGGGACCGTCTTGGGCCCCTCTTGGGGCTATCTTAAGCCGTCTTAGGGCCAGCTCGAGGCCTCACGAACCCGTCGGAGGCGAAACAGCGAGAAGGCAACAAACACATTGATTTGAATTAGGTGTTTGAAAGATATTGGCCGCTTGGGGGGGTCCTTGGAGGCCTCGGAGGGCACGTGAAACCGTCTTGGGGCAGTGTTTAGACCTCTTAGATGCGTGTCGGAGGCGATCTTGAGCCATCTTGGGGTATCTTGGGCTATCGAAAGCCCTCTTAGAGCTATCTTGGGCCAAAAATGGCGCTTTGACACATCGCGGGGGAGCCCGTCCAGACCCAGGGGTGGGGGGAGGTACACCTCCCGAGCAGGGAAAGGAAGGAGATTCGACACGCGCTAGACCACCTGCGCACAGAGGGCTGGTGGGATGTGGTCGGGCGTTTCCCCCTACAGGCGGGGTTTGGAGGAAAGAAAAAGAATGGCCAAATATTCCAAACATCCTACCCCCGAGACTATGTTAGACTATTTTTGAATACTCCTCCTGTAGGAGGACACGCCCAACTCAAATCTAGGAGGAGAAGGGATAAAGGAGAGAAGGAGGTAGGGAAAATAAATCTATACATCGACGCTTTTCCCGACCCTGCGCTGAAATTTGCACAGGAACGCGGATTATGGTGTATACGGGACCCTGGTGTATACATGTTCCGTTGTTTCCCTTGGAAAAAAACGAAGGAAAAGTATACACCACACCACCCCGACGTCGTCCCTGACCCTTCAAAAGTCGCGGGATTGAAAAACAACCCGCCACTGGTAATGTCTATGTGGGAGGAGGATTGCGAGGAGGAGCCCCACCGCCAGGCAGGATCCTGGCGAGCTGGCCGCCCCCCGAAACGGCCCCGCGAGAGGTCGCCCGCGCCGCCGGCCATGGCGCGCCGCGCTGGCCGGAGAGAGGAGACCCGCGCGCGAAGGCTGGCCGGTGCGCGGGCTCGGCGGGAGGGGCGGGAGGGGGGAGGAGGAGGATCGGGAGGACGAGGAGGAGAAGGAGAGCGAGGAGGGGGAGGAGGACGAAAAGGAGGAAGGACGAGAAGGAGGCCGAGGAGGAATGCGAAGGAGGAAGAGGATGAGCATAAGTAGCAGGAGGGCAAGGAGGACGGGCAGGAGCAGGATCACGAGGAGCAGGAAGACGAGGAGGAGAAGGACGACGATGCCGATCAAGAACAGCAGGACGAGCAGGACGAGCAGGACGAAGAGGAGCAGGAGGACGAGCATGAGCATGACGAGCAGGGGCAGGAAGGAGAGGGAGGAAGTTGCTGAGGGAGGGGGCTCGGGAAGGTTCAATGGGATTCAGGGCGCAGGAGGGGATCAGGGCTTGGGCCACGTGGCTCCATGTCCCAAACACTGATCCTTCTGCTTTTCCTCCTCCTCCTCCACCTCCTCCTCCTACGAGCAAGGCCTGTCCACACCGTACTACATCACGATCTCTCGAGATGGTTCACAAATCGCTGGGTATTTCCCCAAACAGTGCTTTCAGTTAGGGGTTCTTACTTCTCTCCGTAAGGAACTGGTTGGGTCCTGCGAGGATGTTCCACGATGCCGCCCATTACCACCCTGTCGCCCTGCGCGGGGTGGGTTCGGCGAGGTTTCGCCACGTTGCCGCCGTGTTGCCGCCTGTGCTATGGGTCGGTCCGACGAGGCTTCGCCACGTTGCCGCCCTCTCGAGTCGTCGCAGCCTGGTCCAGGAGACTTCGCCACGTTGCCGCCTGTTGCCGCCTCTCTGCCGCCTCGCGCGCGGGGTGGGTCTGGCGAGGGTTCGCCACGTTGCCGCCCGTTGCCGTCTCGTTGCCGCCTCGTGCGCTGGGTGGGTCGGGCGACGTTTCGCCACGCTGCTGCCTGTCGCCGCCTCGCTGCCGCCTCGTGCGCTGGGTGTCCAGCGAGGCTTCGCCTAGTTGCCGCTCGCTGCCGCCTCGTTTGTCCTCGTGTGCTGGTGGGTTCGGCGAGGTTTCGCCACGTTGCTGCCCGTTTCCGCCTCGTTGCCGCCCCTTGCGCTTGCTGGGTCTGGCGGGGCTCCGCCACATTGCCGCCTCTTGCCGCCTCGTTGAAACCTCGGGCGCCAGGCGTGTCCGGCGAGGCCTCGCCGCGCTTGCCGCCCACTGCTGCCTCGCGGCCGCCTCGTGCACTGGGTGGGTCCAGCGAGGTTTTTCGCCACGCTGCGGCCCGTTACGCCGCTTCGTTGCCGACTCTAGCTTGCACCAAGTCTACTGTTCTGGGGAGGCGTGGGATTATGTTGCTCCCGTCGTACTTAAGGACCACATCCCAGAAATCATTTCGAGCGCCCGTAAAAGTGTCGAAAGAGTGTCGAAATAGTGTCGAAAGAGTGTCTCCCAGGGACCGGCACGTGGAAACCCTTGAGTTTCGGTTCTAAATTCTTCCTGGTGATCAAAGCTAAAATAGTTTGGAGCATCATAAACGTAAGACTCGGGTAAGGGGGACTCGGGTTGGCCTGACAGGGGCCACCATAAGAATGAGGAGACCCAATCTAGAATGTGACGCGAGCTCCCGCTGCAGACATCCCACGAACACTGGACCGTCAAAGTCCAGGGCGCGCTCGTCAAAAACGTCGGCAAACCCGAGTTACGGCTCACTCGAGTCTCACGTATCCCCGACTGTACCACATGGCTTGCGCCACATGGCTCGCGCCACAGCACAGCTTACACATCCTGTGCAAGAGCTGTTGGCTGGTGCCCACGCTTGCCAACATGCAAGACCAAGTCCTCTACCGGAGCCAATGCGTGGGGGAAACTTGACAGCACAGTCAGAAAGGCCAGGACGTGATGGGACGGACACGCCTGTCGCGGATGGACGCTTCGGGCAACGATGTTGGGCACACGGGCCGCGACCAATCTGTCAGTTCTCAAATTACTCGTCGAGCACGGCGATGTGATTCTCTCCGCGACTGCAATGCCTTGCTTCCCGCGTCTGTTCTCTGTCTGCTTCCCCTCATTGTGGTTCTCGCCCGTCCTTCCTGAATCATGCTCACGCCGCATCGCTTGAGGAGGAGGAGGACGACGACGAGCAGGAGAAGGAAGAGGACCAGGAGAAAGATGACGACGAGCGGCGCGTGCGCGTGCTCGTTCGTCGTCGTCGCCGCCACCGCCGTCGTCGTCGCCAGAAGAGGAGGAGGCGGAGGAACAGGAGCATGAGGAGGGAGGAGATGGGAGGAGCGGGAGGAAAGGAGTAGGACTGGGAGAGAGGAGATGCAGGCGGATGAGGATAGCTGCAAGGCGGCGCGGTCGAGATGCGCGGCGAGGTCTGCCTGGCACAGCTGAGGTACGAGAGAGTGCCGCCCTGCGAGTAGTAGATCATGTTGCCATTGATCCTCTCGCATGGGCCGACCACCGAACTCTCAAAATTGATACGGGCGTCGAACAGTGTCGCAGAAGAAACCCGTCTCCGAATTACATGTAATAGATGTGCTCTGTGGAAGACGGCACTGATGATGGCAGCGAACTTCCTGCCAACAATACTGCTACGTGATGCGCGTGGAGAGAGAGCCACGCCCAGAGTGGGCTTCCGTGCAGCAGCGCTGGCAAAACGAAGTGCGTGCCAACAGCGAGCCAGGACGCTCGGACTGAGCCTCCTGCCAACAGCGCTGCCAACGGGATGTGCGCCGAACGCGAGCCGGCACGCTCGGAGTGAGCTCGCGGGGGGCACCGAAGGACATGCTAGCACGATTCGCCCCCCCCCCCCGGATGCGAACGTCCGAGCCGAACATATCTGCAGGGGCCCACAAACACACAAAATACACACACACACATCCCAAAGTTCCCCGTATGCTCATATGTTCTGGGTTTCTGCCTTCCCCCCACTGCCCATATTTTCGCATATTTTCCTGGGAATCGACGATGCATTGTGTCTGTGTTTTCCCTCCTGAACATCATTCACATATCTGATATCTGATCAGGTCCCCCCAGGAACAAAAAACAAAAAATGGGCCCCCACCCCTTCCAGGACAGACCCCCACCCCTCCACCCCTCTCCAAACAAACCACCCCCCCCTCTTCGGACATATCCCTTTCCGCTCGTCCGCTTTCTCTCCTACAGACACCCCCCCCACTCCGACAGAGCCTCTCTCCTCGCCATTCAGGCCGGGGAGGGAGGAGGGGAGGGAGGGGCGGCCGACGGACGCCATTCAGGCCCAGGAGGAGGCAGGGGGGGGGGGCTGCGCCTGTCGGGGGTGGGGGGGGCTGACGCCATTCAGGCCCGGGAAGGGGGGGGGGGGGGGGGGCTGACGCCAATCAGGCCCGGGAGGGAGGGGGGGGTGAAGCTTCGCTCTGTCTGTCGGGGCGGGAGGGGGGGCTGACGCCATCCAGGCCCAGGAGGGAGGGGGGGGGGCTGACGCCAATCAGGCCCGGGAGGGAGGAGGGGGGGGGGCTTCGCTCTGTCGTGGGGGGAGGGGGGGGGGGGGGGGGGGCTGACGCCATTCAGGCCGGGGAAAGACCAGGGGGGAGGGTGAACGCCATGGGGGAGGAGGGAGGAGGGGAGGAAGGGGGGGCTGACGCAATTCAGGCCCCAGGGCGGGAGAGGGGTGTGGGGGGGGCGGGCTGATACCACCATTCAGGCCCGGGAGGGAGGAGGGGGGAGGGGTAGGGGGAACGCTGGGGACGAGGGAGGAGGGGAGGGAGGGGGGGCTGACACCATTCAGGCCCGGGAGAGGGGGGGGGGGAGCTGCGATCTGTCGGGGGGGGGGAGGGGGGCTGACGCCATTCAGGCCCGGGAGGAAGGGGTGGGACGGGCTGTCGCCATTCAGGCCCGGGAGGGAGGAGGAGGGGGGGGGCCTCGCTCCGTCGGGGGGGGGGGGTGGCTGACGCCCTTCAAGCCTGGGAAAGCGGAGGGGGAGGGGGGCTGACGCCATTCAGGCCCGGGAAGGAGGAGTGGGGGGGGGAGGGGGGACGCCATGGGCAGGAGAGGGCGGGGTGGGGGGGAACGCCATGGCTGACGCCATTCGGGCCTTTGAGGGGAAGTCGGGGGAAGGGTGGGGGAGCTGACGTCATGAGTCATGGCTGATGCCATCCAGACCCGGGAGGGGGATCTGGAGGGGGGGGAGGGGAGGAGCCCTGGCGCCATGCCTGGCGCCATTTAGGCCTGGGAAGGAGAAGTCGGGGGGGGGGCGGGGGTTGACGCCATGGTTGGCGCCATTCAGGCCCGGCAGGCTGGGGGACATCCCATGAGTTTGGCTGTTCACGCGAGATCGTCACTTTCGAATATCCGACGGTTGCCCAGGCGAGTTCAACATCCTATCTTATGAGGATGCCTCGAGCGAGTGCTCTTCTCTTCAACAAAGGTCTTCCGTTGCATGCAGAATCGGTAGCACCCCGGATCGGCGGCACTGGCCGGAGGCCACTACAATATCATGAACACATCAGAATATGATCCGACATCGGCATCGATACGCAGGCGGCATGGCCAGATAGCGCCCTCCACCGAGCATGTATGAGATGCTGAGCGCGCGCATCGCCCCTGGGGGTGGGGTGGGGGCCACGCACCCACAGCGGTACGTATGGTAAGGTGATGCCGGCCTGCCGGCAACAGCGCTGGCAACAATGCCGGCAACGCGATGCGCAACGGCCGCGAGCCCGCACTCTCAGAAAGAGCGGCCCTGCGTCAGCGCTGGCACCGACGCTGGCAACGGGAAGTGCCCCGGAAGCGAGCTGGAACACTCGAAGCAACGTCCTGGCAGCAACGCTGGCAGCACGACGTGAGCCCGATGCAAGCTGGCACCATCGGGATGAGTTTCCTGCCGAGAACACGCCGGCAACACGATGTGCGCTGGAGAGGAGCCAACACGCTCGGGACCCTGGCAATGCAATGCGCCCTGACAGCGACCTGAAAGCGAGCCAGCACGCTCGGAATCAGCTTCCTGCTGACAACGCCAGTGGCGTTAGATCGGGCGTGTCCTTCTACAGGCACATGTTGGACCAACACTTCG